GGACGGGACTGGGAGCTTTTGCCCGAATCCTGCAAGGATTTAGTTGTCCTAGGAGTGTGCTCACTGCTGGGGTGGATGGGGGCTGTCTGTGCTGGTGAATCCCGGGGTTTCGCTTGAGTACCCCAACTTCTGGCCCCTCACTTTTACTCCCCACTAAGCTTTGCTCCCCAGGGACCCAGATCACCCCCCCTAAAGACAAGGGGAGCCTCAGGGGACAGCATCGAGGGTTGGCTCCCATCAAAGGAGCACCCCAATTTCTGGGCACCCCCCAGGACCCCAGACCCTAGCTCCCCACTCACCAGGCAGCCCCAGGCTCAGCAGGATGCTGTAGTAGATGGTAGGGATGACACCAGCCACACACGGGGACCTCTCTGAGGTCTCTGGCCAATGGCCTTCAAGCTCTGGGCTCGGCCCACTGCCATTGGGTGTGGGCAGCATGGCCACTCGTGGCTGGCCAGCTAGGAAGGGCGGAAGGGCGTGGGGTTAGAGCACTTGGTCTCTTTCCAGCCTGGCCTGGTAGCAGCCCCACCCCGACCCTGACCCTGAGGTCTCTATTCGCCCCTGCTTTGTGCAGACCCTCAGATCAGGCCCCGCCAAAGGACAGTCTTCATCGCCAAGCCCACAGGCCCTCCCGCCCTCCGTGGCCTGGCCTCCCCGCTGATGGGAGGAAGCCCTCGGTGGCATGTCTGGCTGCCATGGAGACCGTTTCCCCACCACGTGCTCCTGGTGGGTCCTCAGCCTGGAGAGCAGGAGGGGGCGGCCGTGAACACGCAGGCTCCCGAGCCTGGCTCCGGGCAGGCTGAGCGGAGGGTCCGCCGAGGGCCTGGAGCGGCTGTGATTTTCCTAAGTGTCCTGGCGACCGTGACCGAGGGTGACCCACAGCAGCTGCCTGGCTCCACTCAACAGCCGGCCCTCTCCAAGGAGAGCCGGTACCAGGTTCTCCTCTCTACGCTCAACAACAACCCTCTTCCTGGGTGAGCACATGGGAGCTGGGGTGGCCCTGGCCTTCCGATGGGGAAACTGAGTCCAGAAGGTAAGGTGACCTCCCTGCGCCCCTCAGCCCCCACTTTAGGTCTTTAGGCTTCACCTTCTAGTTGTGATTTCCTGCGGAAGCTGCCCCCTCCCCCAGCCCCTGCTAAACCTGGTTCCCCGCCTCACCACCCACACGTAATTCCCTTCCAGCTCCCCCACCCCGGCCTCCGGATTCGGTACCTGTCCTTCCACCCGCCTCTCCCCTCCCGCCCAGGTCTGGACACTTTACCTGTCTCGTGCCCCTCGAGCCTCAGGCTCCCGGGTCCTGAATTTGAGGTCGCCTTGTGGCTTTCCCCGAGTGGCCCCGCAGGCCCCTCCCAGCATCGCCAGCTCTCCAAGCAGCTGTTTGCCCTGTGGCTTTTCCAGCAGCACTGAGCCCGTCAGGGCAGAGAGGTAGGACGATGGGGAGGAGGGAGGAGGAGGAAGGAAAGGGTGGGGCTGAGCCTCGGGGGAAGAAGCCTGTATAGTAAGTGTGGCCTGGAGCAAACCCGAATCCCTGGGGGCCCACAGGCAGGGCCGGGAGCACAGCTGGGAGGGAGACCTCGGGGAGAGGGCAGGGGTGTGCTCCCTGACACTCAGGGAACCCCCTGGCTCAGCGGGGGCTGGCACACCCTGCGGGGCCGACTTTGGGGAAAGGCAGAAGGGTTTGGGGAACGGATTCTACCAGCATCAGAGAGTGGAGGGCAGGCTGCAGAGAGGGGTGAGGGAGCCAGTGCTGGGAGGAGTGGGGGGCGAGGTCACCCAGATCTGGAGAGAAGCCTTGGGCTTGGAGGAGTGGGTCCGGCTGCTGCTTCGGGCGGTGGGGACCAGGGGGCGGCCACGGGGGCTGCAGGCCGGGGGTGTCCGGAGGCCCTGTGACCACTGAGAGGACTCAGCAGTGAGCAGGCTGCCAGCGGCGCTGGGAAACCGGGACGCAGTGGCCCCCGCACGCTGTTGTTTTCCTGGCTGGTGAAATGGACCATCCCTCAAGGAGTATCAGTCACTGGCAAATAAACACCAGCCGGCGTGTGAGCGCTCAGAGCGGCTGGACTCCGCGCCTGGCCAGGCCCCACCCCTCACCCCGGGGAGAGTGGCCAGTGCGGCCCCGAGTGGGCACCCAGGACCACACGGGGTGACGGGGTGACGTGGAGGAGAGCGAGGCCCCGTCTTCCATCCTCCCCACGCTTGCCTCCCACTCCCCTCACGGAACATAGCAGCCTGGCTTCCAGGCTCCCTAAGTGAGAGCCTTCCTCTGGGGCTGGAACTACCTTGACACCCCCTTCCCCCCCACTCCCACCTCCGGGGCCACCCCTGCAGCAATCACAGAAGCCTTACTGCCCCCTGGTGGCCATGTCCCGACACTGCAGGCCTCTGCGAATCCACGGGCTTTGGCCAGGTCCCATGGATGGAGTAGAAACTACCCACTCAGGCCCCCAGGAAGAGCGCCCAGGGCCCCAGCCCCAGAGTGCAGCGAACTTCCAGGAAGCTCAGAGAATTCCCCAGGCTGCCACCCCCGCACCCCGAGGCTCTGGGTGAGCAGGAGCCACGTACAGTGGAGTCAGCAAGGCCAGCTGTGTGCGGGGCTTGGCCATTCCCTGAGCACCCACTCTATCCCTACACCTGTCACGCCCCTGGCAGCCCGGCCCCCGCCCCCCCCGCCAACCCTGGTATCTTCATTTCACACAAGAGGGCACCAGGGCTCAGAGAAGCTCAGGAACTACTGCACTCAGATAGGGAAGGGCATTCAAGTCAGGGGAACAGCACAACGGGGGTGCAGAGGCAGTGAAGCGGATGCACCACCCCTGAGAGGACATCCTGGCTTCAGGGGAAGCGTTCAATGGTGTGAGTGACTCCAGGGAAAGATTCCTCCTTGTGCGTTATTCGTGTGACTCCGTTCCCCAAGCTCAGTGTCCGAGGAGACCCCAGCTCAGGAAGGGAGACGGTACAGGCGGAAGGGGGGCTGCGGTCTGGGCAGGGCTGGCTGGAGCCCACCCTCCGAGGGGGGTGTCCCTGCAGCCCAGCGTCCGATCCCCCACTCGGCAGGTTCAGAAACTCTCTCCCTGCCCTGAGCTCAAAAGTGTGCAGTTGCTCTCACAGCGCTAGGGAGTCCCTGCACAGCGGGGCCATTTACGGCAACTGCCACAGCTTCCCAGAACAGACGGCGTAGGGTGTGGGAAGAAAGGCAGCAGCGTTTGCGTCCTGGCTCTGCCTGTTCCTGGCCGTGAGACCAAGTCGCTTAGGTTATAAACACTCTGTCCTGGGCAGGAAGGAGCCGTCTGGGCAGGAATTGTTCTAGCTTGAGAGCTCCTCAGCCTGGCTCTCAAGGAATCGTGGAGTTTCCAGGTGCTCGAGCAAAACAAAGAGAGTATTTCCAATCCTCCATCTCCCGGACCCCTCCCTCCCCTCCCCCAGGGCCTCTTTCCTCTCTGCTCCAAGACGCTTGCACACACGCACGTACACACACGCATGCATGCACGCATACACGTACACGTACACGTACACACACACACACACACACACACACACACACACTCCAGCAACCCTCAGACTGCAAGAACAGGGTGCCTATTCCTAGAAAGCCAGTTTCTAAATCATCAGAGGAGCTCCATGGATGAAGGGAGTTAGAGACAGTAGGAGGTGGGGCCTCCAGGGATGGGAATGAGAGGGGACCCCCCAGTCTCCTTGGTATCCTGGGGCCTCTCCAATCACTGCGCACCTGAATGCCAACCACCCAACTCGAGCTGGACCTGGGCACCTGACAGCGTCCAGGAGGCTTTGAAAGCAGCGGTGCAGGCGGGCTGCCCTTCTAGAAAGAACCGGCTTCTAGAAAGACTGCTGGCATGCAGGCCAAAGCACCATTTCCTGAGCAGTGGGCTATTTTATCACTGTCTCTTTCTCGTCAGTAACTTTCCCATTGAAAGTATTTCTCATGGAACTAGGACGCCCCCGGCGGCCTGGACCCCGCCCCCCCTCCACACACACACAGACACACACACTGAGGCTCGGTGGGGCAGCCCACGGGAAGGCAGGGGGCAGCCAGTGGACAGGATGGCGGAGTCAACCAGGGGAACCAGGCATGAAGGTCAGGGCAGCCGGAAGGGGTTTCCACCGGCTGGACAGCTCCATCTCTGCCAACCCAGACGAGGCAGGTGCCAGGCCCAATTCCTGCTCCGTCTGAGGGACCAGAGAGGGGGTGGAGCTGTGGGTCTCTGTGCCAGCCAGGGGCGGAAACCGATGCATCCAGCTGGTCCCTGGGATCCAGAGAGCAAGGGAGGGCAGGCTCCCACCCAGCCCAGACAAGACCTGGCCTTGGGAAAAACTCAGAGCCCAATCTCTGGGGAGCCCCCCCCACTTCTGTTCATCAACCTCTAAGGAGTCCCTCTCATCAAGACTGAGCCAAGCTCCACTCACTCCCTAAAAAGGTGAGGTCTCAACAACACCCCCTCCCACCCATTCCCCCAAGTCCC